TGGCTGACCTGGCGTCTGTTCCCTGTCGATTCCCGGTGAGAAAATTTCTCACGATTGACTGGCCTTGTGGGGGTGTTTTCTTATTTCCACGCTGTTGAACGTGTCTTCTCGTTTTCTTTCTGGCCTGTACTTTTGCCACTCGATCCCCGAAGTGCGGCGAACCAAGAGCGCGTACGAGTTTGCGACAAAACTTGAAGCCTTCGAAACTTCGATAACCTTGAGACTTCTTTAAGACTTGCACAAAGAACGGCAGAGCCAAGGCGCGGGAGCGGGAGGCTGTTAGCATTCTGGTTACTAGCAACGGCGTTGCCCTTTGCACCTCGGATCGAAGACTAGGGCTTGGACGGGTGGTGGATGGGCTGGCGCGCAACTCGAAGGGCGAGCGCATTCCCTGTTTCTTTCTGATGCAATATTGTGGCTGCTATGGTCCCCCAATGTTGCATATAAAGACACGATAGAAGGAGTGGTATTGTTGGAAATCCGGCCGGTAAAATTGAATAGTCGGACGTGGATGAAAGGCTGAAGAGGAGGGTAATTAAAACGACAAAACAGACGAAGGACGGCGGACGAATGATAAAGAAGGGCGAAGAGGGTGTGTGGTGGGGGGGGGGGGGGAGGTGTCTTGACAACGGCACTCGTTGACGGCCTTTCGCCTCGGCGTTGGTAAGAAACTCGACAAACACGGCGTACGGAGTATCGTAACGAGACGGCGAAGAGAGGGAGAGGCACCAGACGTTGCTCCTTCCTTTCGTGCTGCACAGGACGACAGGGCGATCCAGTCGCCCCCTCGCAGCTTCCGCCATTTCGCCGATCGATCTTGCCTCATGGTATGACCGCCACCCTGTGCCGGAACACCGCGTCTACACGTACTTGCAGGCCCTGTAATGTAGCACTTTAATTGCGTCGTAGGATGATGCATCGTCTTGAGCGTGAGATGCGGCTTGTTTGGTTTTCTGCTGTTTCATTCGCGTGCGCCCTATCTCCGTGTCTTGTGGTCTTGGCTCGCGCTCCTCCTGCGCTGCTGCCCTTTCGTTGGCTGACCCACATTTACACTAACGCAAGCGGGGCGCAAAGAACTTTCGGCACAGGCTTCCACAGACCTTCTCGAAGCCTGTTCTCGTCGCCTCGTCGCTTCTCTGTCTGGCCTGAGCCACCACTCCCCCATCTCCCCTTATGCTCCACTTTCAAAGGAACGGGAAGGAACCCATGCGCCAGAGCTGTTCAACACTTTCCTCCTGGCCTCCTTGCCTGCAGCAGTTCTTGCCTTGCGCAGTTTGCTTTTGCTCTTTCCTGTACTTTCATTTCCCCCTGCGTCTTTACATACAGAGTGCGCGTGCACATTCTGTATATATTCTGTGTCTTGGTATCTTTGTACGGCGTATCTTGTCTTGCTCTTTCACAGTCTGCCACAGCTCCGTAAAGATGCCCCAGAGTCGACGTAGAGCACGCGCGCCAGCATTGCTGTGGCAAGCTACAGTGCATTCGCGCGAGTAATTAATCGTCCCTTCCCTGGTCGGGAAAAAGGATGGAAAGAAGGACACAGCAGAACGTGGCAATCACGCACCTTCTTTCATCCCGTTGTTCCTTCCCCTTCTCGAAGCACTGTTGCCCCAGAAGAAGCCGCTCTCCCAACCCCCGTCCCTTGTAATTCTTACCCACCTTCTGCCGCCTCGTACGCTCTCCCTTCTCGCCTTTCCCACAGCAGGAGCCACCCACAAACAATCACGCAACCCCCCCTTTCTTCTCCTCTTTCTTGCGAAAAAGGAACCTTGTCGTCTCTTTCTCTTTTCCCTCCATTGCTCTTTCCCATTGATCCCTCACACATTTGGCCCAATCCCTCCTGCTATTGTTGCCATTCAGCGTGTTGTGTATCAAGTCTCGCCTTTCCCTTCCTCTCGCAGTTCACCTTTTCTCCTCTTCTACCCTGTTCCTTTGCGACCTTTCTACGAATCACCGTTTTCTTGGGTTCCTGTCTCTCTTTTGTCTCTCTTTTTGATTCTCCGCAGCATCCAAGGTCTTGTTTCCCCTTCCATTTTCCCTTTCTCTCAACTCTGGATAGAGAGCCCCGCTGTCGCTGTCGCGCGATCGGCCGTTCACCTTCTCGTCCCTTCTATTCTTCTTTTCCCCTTCAAATTTCCACCAACCTGCCTTACTCGACTCCATCTTCGTTGTTTCCTGTGACGATTTAACGAACACATCATTTTATTTTCCCCCTCTCGTCGCCTTTTCTGTCTCGTACGAGCGCTTTGCGACTTCTTCCTCGTCGCTTTCTCGAACGGTAAGCTTTTGCACTGTTGTTATTTCACCCTAACGTACATACATCTTTACCTTCTGTCTCCTGCGACCTGTCTGGCCACTTGAACCACTCCCGCGCTTGCGTCTCGTGCCGTCAAAGTTTGTCGTCCGGTTTCGATTTCGCCCTTCAACTGCAAAGAACACGCTACAACCCTGAGCGAAAGAGTGCGCCTATCTACTCGATTCCAGCAAGCCAGCTACCCAGACACAGTCGCATGCGCAGATGCATTCGAGTCGCAGCCACAGGTTCTGACCGACAAACAAAGTCCTGCGACTGAAGCCGACCAGTCTCTTGTCATTTCCCCGCCCGCCCATCCAGCTCCATTGCCTTTCGCTACTACTCCATGCCGACGAGATTCGCGTATTCGACCGCCTGGCAATGCATACGTGCAAAACCCGCCTGTAGAAGAGTACGCAGTATGCTGATAGCTCGCTTGTTTCTTTGCAGGTTCATTTTGTTTCTCGTGTGATTCCGTTACCACACGGGGCTTTCTAAAGCTGTACGACGACGGTCCAAATCTCGGCGCGGTCTGCTTTCGCCAATATCCAACCACACCACAACCGACCTTTTTGCCCCGTCCAGGCACTTCGTCCAATACTTTCTTCTGCTGCTTTTGCTTTTCAATCGATTTTCCTACTCGTGGGCCAAATTTAGCAAGTGGATTTCGGTCCTCTCGAAGCCACTGGATCGTCGTCCTGAACTGTCTCGGATTTTCTAGAGGACTCCGTTACCACCGAGCTGCGCCATCAACGTCAAAGTCGACTGTCTCTCTCCTCCCGAAGTCGAATATTCTAATATTTTCTGGGAAATAACTTAATCCCTTTTCGACCCCTCGAAGCACAACATATCTGCGAAAAGATTTCAATTGGGTTTTTCTTTTCTTTTCTGTGGGGGTTGTGGCCGTCGTACAAGGTGTATCCGTTCGGGACCTTGTGCCTGTTATCGCTGCACCGTCCGACGTTTCGGGTTGGCGAATCCCCCCTATCCTGGCGAATTGAAAAGTCTGGTGCTGTATCTTGACTTTTGATCTACGATACTGGACACTCCTGCTTCCTTTTGTCGCCTTCATTCTTTTTTCTTTCACCCCCACTCCATTTGCGGCAAAGACCAGTCGTCAAGACTCGGTCGCCCCACGCCCGCCGCAATGGACACAACACTTTGCAATGTCATCTACGTTGATGATAGCATTCGAGATGACCGCGTATTTCACGCTCGGTCCGCGAATGGTGTCCAAAGACAACAACCAACAGAACAACCTGAGACTCAGGCCCCAGCCACGGCATGGGAGTCCAAAACACTCGAAGATAACATCTGCTTATTAGCTGACGTCTTTGGTGATGGTAAGTCTATCTTCTTTCGTCATGCTTCAAAATTGGCATCAATCTAGTGCATGAGCTGACGGATTTCTTCTTCTCTCGGATGTGTAGTTCACCTCTGTGGAACCGGAAGCGCATGCATGGCAAAGCTATTTGACCTCCAGGACGAATCGACGATGGGCCTCAAGCCGACTATCGTTTTGATTGGCACACCTCACGACGAACGCATTCCATTAGACGAACAGTCACGATCCCCATCACCACACTCCGCATCGCAAAACGAGGCTGGCTCCGTCCCAAACACCCCGCCAACCGACGAAGTCTACGGCTTGCGTCTCCTTCGCCGCATCGTGTCTGAAGCGCACTTGCGAAATTTGTCCAAGCTCATCGTGCCGGTCTCCGTTATTAAGCTCTCTGAATCTGAAGATGCGGCAGCCCTACTTTCTCAGAGTTCCGGCAGCAATGCGGAGACCAGTCCAGCTCAAGCATTCAAAATAAATCGAGCGCTCAACCGTTCCTTACTCAAAAGCTGCCTGAAACTGGGTGCTGTGGACGTACTTTTCAGCCCAATAGAGCCACAAAGTATCACGAGTCTCGAAGTACGCGCCTACTGGGCACATAAGAGTGCTGCTCGTGATCGACAGGCACTACTCGAGCTACGCCGGGGCCGGAAGCGTTCTTGGGTTGGTATTTCGGACAACCGCCCGTTTGCATATTTACGCGAGAATATGGTGACATCTCTTATGCGGAGAATTTGCCAGATGGAGGAGGGCGACGAACTCCCCGTTGACGCTGTTCGTATCAGCGTGACACCCCGCAGAAAGCAGGTTGTTGCTTCCGCGATCGGCAACTGGCATTTCTCGGCCCATGACTTCAATGACGATGAGTTGATCGAAGCATCGGCCCTCATGTTCAAGCATGCCCTGTCCATGTCTGAGTTGGCGGAGTGGCGGTTACCAACGGATCAACTAATCTGCTTTCTCATTGCTTGCCGAGCAGCATACAACTCGTTCGTGCCTTACCACAATTTCAGACACGTTGTCGATGTCTTGCAAGGGACCTTTAATTTCCTCGTCAATATCGGGGCGCTCCCTCCTTACCCATTATTACACTCTTCATCCGCAACGTCTTCGACCAACATGCCTTTGCATTGCAAACAAAAATCTCCCATGGCGTCACTAATTCGCCCATTTGAAGCTCTTACCCTACTCATTACAGCCATTGGACACGACGTCGGTCACCCGGGTGTGAACAATGGTTTCTTGGTCGTGCTGAACACCCCTCTCGCGCAGCTCTACAACGACCGCTCCGTCCTCGAGTCGTTCCATTGCGCAGCCTACTCCCAGATTTTGCGGCGGTATTGGCCCGCCGCTTTTAACGACAGCAAAATGAGGAATCTCATGACCAGCTCCATCCTTGCCACTGACATGGGACTTCATTTTGACTACATGAAGAAGCTCGGGAATACCCAGGACAAGCTTGCTGATAGTAACACCACTGACGGCTGGAACGGCCGTATGGTCGAAGATCAAACTGCACTGGCTTGTGCTCTGCTCATCAAATGTGCAGATATCAGCAACGTGGCGAGACGACACGATGCCGCATTGCAATGGATGCACATTCTGTCAGACGAATTTTCTCGGCAGGCTTTAATGGAGAACCAGCTCGCAATCAAGTCGTCTCTAGTAGCTCCGCCGAAGAAAGACAATGTGTCTCTTTTCCGTGCTCAGCTCGGCTTTATGAACATGTTCGCCATCCCTCTTTTCCAAGGCATTGCCAGCATAATGCCCGCTATGCAATACTGCGTGGACGAGCTCGAAATCAACAAGGCTATTTTTGAGAGGAGCGTCGCCGAAGAGACCGCAAAAGCAGCGGCTGAAGAAGAGCAGTCTCGTAGCCTTGATGGCACCTTTTCTCCACGCTCAATGAGCGTAGCCATTCCGAATGACGTGTCCGGGACTCAGCCGAAACATCAGCAACAGCAGGCATCTTGCACCTCCACAAGTGGTGCTGTAATTGATACGGAAACGCGCTTGGATGAGCACGCGAATAACGGAAGCGCAATCTCTCCAAAGCAAATGCCTTCATTTGGTGACCTGTACAAGGACCAGAACGGAGGCAGTCCGCGGTACGACGCGGTTGCGGAGTTCGCAGCGAGTGACCCCTTTGGTATGAGCGATAGCCGGCCATTGGCCTCATCCAAGCAACGAGTGAGCGAGGCAACGGACGGCAGCACATCTCTACCTGGTGGCGGGGATTGGGCCTCCCAGGCGACCAGTGCAACGACAGGGAAAATGCCACTCTCTCCTAGTACGCAAGGCACCAGCATCATTAGCCGCGACTCTATGGATCGTCCAGCGAGCTTGCCCGCTTCCACTGCCATCACTTCGACCCCGAACGATATCACCAAATGCCACTCTGAAGCGCTGATTAGCGCACAGATTTCCCGCGAGGATGGCTCGTCTCTATCGTCTGGTGGAATCAGCGGTGACAATGGCACGCGGAAGCCACATCAAGAAGAGCACTTCCTAAAGAAGAAGTCAAGTCGGTTTAGGATGAACGCCTTCACGTTCTTCCGCCGCCACCTCAGTCCGGGCCCTCCTCTACCCGCATCCAATAACGACCAGTCGCCGGCTCAAGATGGCTGTCGATAAAGCGTGGCCGGTTTTCTACGCCCAAGGAGGCACACAACCGTATCGCGTGGCTATCCAAGGATTAACTTTTTGTTTTGATGGTTTAACGACTGTTTTTTCACTGTATTCTATCTAGTATTTTATGTCTTTTTACAATGCAAAGGGGTGTAAGTTGGCGTGTTGGGCACGCCTTACGTTTCCAATATTTAGTCCTCTTGGTTCGCATTTTCTTTTGTTCTCGGTCATTAGCGAAGCGCAACGCATGGAAAGTTGGCTGCAGGTGCAGACAGCGGACAATGGGCGCATTGTGCTCGCCTATGGCCGTTGCAGATCAGCTGATGGTGGCGCGGCCATTTCCGCCCGATCAAAATCATTCCTATTTCATCTCATTTGGTGTTATTCTACTTGTTTTCAGGACACGGGGCAAAGGCGAATCGTTACTGCGTTTACAGTTGGCCTCTCAAATATGGGTTAGTAATCCCTGGCTTGGGACGTTAAAGGAGGCTGGTCAGTAAAAATCTCTGGTGGATGTAGAGATGCATATTGCCAAGGAAAATATTTCAATCTTAAATATAATGACAGTTGACTTAAATTATGTGTGGCCTATACGAAACACCGCGTTTGGTAACAATTTGTTAATATAAAGTTGTATTTCAGTAACTTGGTGCGTCTTTCCTCCGTGGATAATAAACGGAGTCTCGCCAGTAATAACAGAATCCTCCCAACAAAAGAAAAATAAAACAAAACTCGCCTGTACAACACTTGAAGATATCAGTCAAGCAACGCCATAACGAAGGAAGCAGAAAACAAAAGGTGCCGGTGACCGTTGACGGCACGCAAATACATAAGGGCGTTGAGCCCACAGAAGGATGCCCGTTTCAAGCCGGCCAGCTCTTTATTAATTCATTCAAGAGCGAGAACAAGAAAATGAAGACCTTGTCAATTTAAATATGCTAAATCATTGGGGGACTATGTGCTCCTTGGACATGTGCGTGATTGCGGAACCGAGCGAATTTACTGCTCGAACCACTCACCGCCCAGCCAGCGGTTGAGGAAGTCGAGAGAAGCCTCGGGCTGGTCGTACGGCACCATGTGGCCCGCTTCGTAGATGCGCATGAACGTGAAGTTGCCAGCAGCCTTGACTGTGCCGTAGCCCTCCTTCTTGAAAAAGGCATCGACCAAGGACTTGCTGCCAGAGAGCTTCAAGGCCTTCGTCGGGGCCTTGTTGAAGGCGGCCTTGCCATCCCACTCGAGGGCCTCAGCCCAGGCCTGGTTACCGAGCCAGTTACAAATGAAGTCAGCGTCGCCGGCGTAGATGAGAACGGGGATCTCAGCCAGGATGTCCGGCACAAGGCGGTGGAAAGGCTGCATCCAGTCGCCCTGGAAGAGGAAGTTGCGGTTGATATCAAAGTTGCAGCTGTCGTAGCTATCAACTTCAGCACCCACGGCCTTCTTCACCTCATCGCGGTTCAGATACTCGGCGATCCAGCCCATCTGGGGGTAGCACAGGTTGCTGCTGTCCTTGCAAGGGCCGCGAATGTCGTAGACATTGCGACCAGTTTGCTGGTACGGGCCGAGCATGGCGTTGTTGCAGTAGATCGCGGCAGGAACGCAGCTCCAGACACTCTCCGACTTGTAGCAGCCCTCAATCAGGGACTGGCAGCGGGGCAACGAGTTATCCATGGAACGGCACTGGGACTCGTCCAGGACAGCAGGCCAGCCACCATCGCCGCAGGCCATGGGGCGGTACTGCTCGTACTGGGTGTAGGGGTCGGTCAGACCGTTGCCAATCAGGACAGACTTGAGATTGATATTGCGGTCCTTGTGGGACAGAATCTCGTTGGCAAAGACGGGGATGTAATGGCCGGCATAGGACTCGCCAGCAATGTGGAAGTCCTGCTTGGCGTACTGGGGGAACTGCTTGAAGAACAGGGTCAAGAGGGCGTAAACATCCTTGCCGGCAGCAACAGTGTTGCTGACGGACTGGCCGGAGTACGAGTAGCCAACGTTGACGGGCTGGTCAAGGAAAATCACGGATGCGTTGGCGTTCCACGACAGGGGGTTGTTGACGATCTTGATGTTCTCATCGACAGCTGAGGGGCCGAGCTCGAAGAAGAGACCGGTCAGCGACGAGCAACCAGGACCACCGTTCAGCCACAGGACAACAGGGTCGTTCTTGGGGTCGTTGCGAGACTCGAAGAACCCTGTACTCGGTTAGTAAACAAACAAAAAAAGGTGTGAGCAGGAAGGTAGGAGCAACAGTAGGAAAAGCAGCAAAAACGTACAGTAGAACAGGTGCTTGTCGTTCTCGTCGTCGTCGAGGTAGCCACTGTACTGCTTGACCTTGTCAATGCCAAGACCAGAAGGATCCACAGCCTTGACGCGGAGGTTGTAGGCCTCCAAGGTGTCGTGGGATTTGGAAGCGCCGGCAGTCGTGACAAATGCAGACGGAATGTCGGCGCCCTTGACGATGTGGTCCCAGTGGCTATCCGGCCGGCGGGTGTGCTTCTTGGGGCTCGAGAAAAAAGTCGACTTTTCAAAAGCGTCAGGGAAATGGAGCTTGACCTCTGCCCACAGCGCCTCGGCATCGGCGGTCATGCCCTTCACAGCCTCCTTGAAGGAAGCAAAAGGGCCACTGGCAGCAGCGGCATCGTCGCCAGACATCACCGGCTTCTTGGCGGCATCACCGAGCACATGCTGTTGGCCACCCAACGGCGACAAGATCGACGCTGAAGCCGCTCCAACGAGGACGGCTGTCGCAGCAATGCGCATGATGGGCAGTATAGGTGTCTGGACAAAGCGGAGAAAAAGGAACTAGGATGGGGTGCGATAGGTGGAATTGGGCAAATTGACGATGGAGAGATGTGAAAGCACACAGGAAGTGATGAGAAGATGATGTAAAACGAGAGATGCAGGAAACAAAAAGAGAGCGAGGAGAGAAGACGTAAGGCAAGAACCGAGACAAAGAGGTATCCAAGCTGATAGCGCCGCCGGAAGGTCAGTCCGCGGCCAGGTCCCCAACAAGGCAGCTGCAATCAGACGTTGTCGGTGCTAGCACCACTTCGCACCTGCTGAAACAAGGACGGGCGATGACTGCACCTTCCTTGACCAGGCAACGTACGGAGTGGGGACAGTAACAGGGCGATATGACTGGCCAAGCTCGTGCTATGATGCTATCTTTCTCTCTTGCCGTGAGCAAGTTAAACACACACTGTGCAGTTAACACTGTATGCACGTGCGACACTTTGTGTTCTCCATAAAAAGCGGCATCTGATGGTATCATCCCAGCTTTCGAGTTCAAACGGGGTGGTCCTTTTCACTTGAAGTCTGTGTTCGTTTCTCTTCGTATTGTCCGGGTGGCTATGCCCCATTGTTGAGATTGGGCTTTCAGTGTGCGAAATAGATTTGCCCAAATCGCACTACTCAGGCCGTCGTATACTGCCATGTTACTCATTATGATGAATTTTAGGCTTGAGAGAGAGCCTATGGCGGGGTATTTTGAGTCACCCACCATCATATCCACTGTCCTGGAATCCCCTTAGTAATTGGGTTAACACAGCGCAAAGTAACGACACCCAAATTTTGTATGCAAAGCCATCACTGTGCTTTGTTTACAACGGCAAACACCTGAATGCAGGTTGAGCTTTATATTAGAACGGCTGTTTCATAATATAATAGGCTCAGCTAGTCGCTCCTCGTCTGCCGGAAACTCACGGCCCTTCATTGGCGGCAAACCACGACAGCAGTCAAATGAACGCACTTTGAAGTGTATTTCTCCCCCCGCCCAGCCTCAAAAGCCCAACCTCAGGACCAAACGCGCAAACTCGCACAATGTCGCGCCAGATCAACCAACCATCAAACCAGATCAAGCTGACCAACGTGTCTCTTGTGCGTCTCAAGAAGGGCAAGAAGCGCTTCGAAATCGCCTGCTACAAGAACAAAGTTCTCGAGTGGCGCTCAGGCATCGAAACCGATCTCGACAACGTCCTCCAGATCCCCAACGTCTTTATCAATGTGTCCAAGGGCCAGACGGCACCGGCAGCGGAGCTGACCAAGGCCTTTGGCAGCAAGGCGACGACCGAGTCTGTTGTGCTTGAGATTTTGAAAAAGGGCGAACTGCAAGTCGGCGACAAAGAACGAGCGGCGCAGCTTGACCGGGTGCACCACGAGGTCATTGACATTGTGGCGGGCAAGCTGGTGGACCCACGAACACGACGAGTCTACACGACCGGCATGATTGAGAAGGCACTGGACATGCTGAGCGCGCAGGCCCACCAGCAACAAGAGCAACGACACAAGGAACAGAAGGAGCAAAAACAGCTAGAGCAAAAACAGAAGCAGGAGGCAGAAGACGACCAGGAGGATAGCGAGGGCAAAAAGCCGGTGTCTGACGAAGAGGAAGTCGCTGGCGGTAAGGATGGCGCGGCTGCTGGTCCTGCAAAGGTTCCCATGTGGACCGGCGTCACGGCTACCAAGAGCGCCAAATCGCAGGCGCTTGACGCCATGAAGGCCCTGATTGCGCTGCAGCCGATCCCCGTGATGCGTGCGCGCATGCGCCTGCGTGTGACGTGCACAACGAGTGTTCTGAAGCAGGCGGTCAAGACTTCCGCCCCCGCAACCTCGGCGTCTGGCGAAGAGGGCGGTCAGAAGAAGGCACCCGGCACCGTCAAGGACAAGATCCTCAGTTACGTGGAACAAGTTGAGAGCCAGGACGTTGTGGGCTCCAGCTGGGAGGTGACCGGGTTCGTTGAGCCGGGTGCTTTCAAGGCCCTGTCTGACTTTGTCGACAACGAGACTCGTGGCCAGGGACGTGTCGAAGTTCTGGACGTTACGGTGACAAAAGAGGACTAAGATGCCGGCCGGGGGGAGGGGAGGAACGCTGGTAAGAAAGGGTTACGTTTTTGCATATTTGATTGTGTCTTGGCATTTACATACCATTGTTTTGTTTGTCACGAATGATGTTCTAGCTTTTGTTTCGGCGTCAAGGAAAAGTACTCTCAACGAAGTGCAATAGATTCAAACGATAACACATCCAGACAAATGGCTACAGGTGCCAGCATATGATGTCGTAGTTAACAATGAAATGCACAGTGGCATTCGTAGTTATGTCCAAGGTATGTTTTGATAATTTTTATTTTGTTTTGATTTTTCTGACTCCGTCTCTCTGTATGAGAGCCTGTAAAAGACGAACAAGCAGAACAGTAGTAACAAAAATGGAAAGAGATACACCGAACCATGTTTCCCTGGTACCAAACCGTTTGCTCCCATCTCCCACTCGTTGTTGTTTTCTCTTCTCCGCCCCAGCTCTCCTTCCCCCACGACGCTGCCGTCCTTGGCAGCGAGCAAGGAAAGAGAGCAACACAAGAACCTTTTCCGATTTCTTGTTTAACCACCCTTCTTCTTGGACACACCGACAGTCCGGCCGCGACGTCCGGTCGTCTTGGTGTGCTGACCGCGAACGCGGAGGCCCCAGTAGTGGCGGAGACCACGGTGGGAGCGGATCTTCTTGAGGCGCTCGAGATCCTCACGGAGCTTGGAGTCGACACCGTTGGCCAGGATCTGGCTGTCCTTGCCGTCGACGATATCGCGCTGACGGTTAAGGAACCAGGAGGGAATCTTGTACTGGGTGGGAGCCTGCAGGATGCTGACTATCCGCTCCAGCTGCTCAGCGGAGAGCTCACCGGCGCTACAAAGTGAGTTAAGTTAGTATCTCGGTTCGGTTGTCTTTCTTCGATGAGTCGCCCCGGCCAGAAAGAGACGTAAGACGTAGTATGAGTACGAGCCCAAAGCTGCCTCTTGCCTCTTCTTCATGCCCGCTTCGCAGTTCGATCGGTCGTTGGGTGATGACAAAACATACCGCATGTTCAGGTCGATATCGGCCTTCTTGGCGACGATGTTGGCATAGCGGCGACCGCAACCCTTGACCTTGGTCAGGGCGTCTAGAATTTGTATGTCAGCCACAGATCCCCTTGCACTCCGTTTTACCATCCTTCGTCGGGAAACTCTTTTCTGTCCACTTCTCGGGGTGCGGGTGGTACTAACAGACGACCTTCTGCTTGCCATCAATGTTGGTGTTCAGCAGACGGATGATCTATTCCTCCTGTTAGCGTCCTGTGTTCCTTCTGTCGTCGGATGGCGTGTCGTCTCAGAGTCGAGTGCCGCAGCGCTGGATGCGTATCGAATGCAGAGCCAAAGGTACGGGAGCGCGACAAAATTCGAAGTCGAGATTATTGGGCGGGTTGGAAGTGTCAACGTACGAACTGAAAGTTAGCTGCACGGATAAGTGTTAGCAAATCTGGCCGCACTTGTTCTATCCATCATTGTCGCCGTTCCGGACGCCGTCGACGTTCACGATAGCCGTCTCATCGGTTCCGGTTCGAAAAAGTGCGGTGAGGCCGGTTCTGTGGCGTTGCTTTCGATGATAGAATGGGAAAAGGGTATTGAACTCACTCTTTTCACCTCCGACGAGAGACATGGTGGGCAACTTCTTCGTCTGTCCGACGTGGATGCTGCTACCTGAATTGTTGATGGGTGGTGGTTGAAGGTGAAAGGAAAGGGAGGAGAGGGAATCGCAGACCATCGACAAAAGCCTCCAAACTCTTCCTGCGAAAATTTCCCTGTCAGTGTGGAGCCCGCAAGCCCTCTTCGAGGCGTCCGCTTCCAATAAGCGAGGGCCAACTTTGGTGCGAAATTTTATGACTTGGTGTGGAAATCCGGAAAAATATAATTGCAGCACGATAGGGTTGACCTGAAAAACTGAGTAATCAAGTCACATGACTTTCCCGAAACTGACACGTGACTGTCTTGATCTTCCTAAGTCCGATGGTTCGTAATGCACCGTGCTTGTACTGTATCTCATCTACCTTAAGACACGACTGTTTGAATTCACAGACTGACAATATCACAACCAGATTCATAGTTTTGCCGTATCTTTTCGACTCATCGTCATTTCATCACATAATGAGCCTATGCATTTGTGATTTCTATGAACTGGACATAGGCGCCTTCTCGAAGTCTTGAGGCCCAGCTGTGAAACTGCGTGGATGTGCTCATGAGGCTGGCAGAACCCCCCCACCCACAGGTAAACACCCCCCAGGTTCCTGGACTGGCTTACACAAGGTGTTTGAAACGCAAGATGTGCATCGATCAAACGTCACAGAAAATGCGGTAGCGCCGTAGCTATATCAGAGTCTGCTATTGATGTATTTTGATGCCCGCCACTTTTCTTTTCTTTTTTCATATGCATGAGCCGTGCAATCTTCTTATTTGCACACCCTCATCCTCTTATTTGTGTTGCCCGATGCGCCGGGGACGGCGAGGATCTGTTTTGTAAATCTTGGCAATCTTGGCATATCGAAGGGCGCAGTTTCATACGTGCGTTCTTTTGATCTTTTGTGATGAAAATGAAGTCGCGGCAAGTTCTGCTGGGGATGGATTGTACTTCGTCAAAACAAACATATAGTGGACGAGCGTAGAAAGTCATAAAAGTGGTATCTCAAGATCGATTTTCATACACTAACTTTCCCAGCGTTAGGAGCCTCCAGGGGACCACATATCCTATAAACATAAACGGTACATAAACTAAGGAGAAAAAGGGGGGAACAAAAACTATAGAACAGAAAGGGGAAACGTAGCGTCGGTTTTATATACGAGATAGGAAAAAAGGCGGACAAGGCGGACCTCTCTACAGAAAAAAAACGTTCTTGTCGTCAAGACAAGCAGTGCACGGCCGGTCATTCTCAGAAGGGATGTTACGGGTTTATGCAGGCGCCGCGATTGGGACGATTTGCACGCCGACACCGCCCGCCGCCGCCGGGGTAGCAGGGGCTGCAGGAGCCACAGGCGAGACAACAGCGGCACCGGCAACCACGGCTGCGGCAGCTGCTGTGGATGCGGCAGCCGGAGCGGCAGCGGCCACGCTGGAGGTGGCCACGGCAGCGGTAGCAGCAGCAGCGGTCGAAGTCGAGGCAGCAGTTGTCGTGGTCGAGGTAGAGATGCTGGAAGAGCCAACATTGGCTGCAAAGCCACCAGCACCGCTAAGAAGAGCAGCGGCAGCCGCGTTGAGGCTCGACGATGAGCCCAGCGACAGGCTGCTGGCCTCGAGGGCGGCAACGGCCTCGGCCGCGATGATGGACGACTGCAGGTTGAAGAGAGACAAGCTGTTGGCGCTGTAGAGGGCGCAGTCCTGGCTGAACTGGTTAATGTTCTCGACGAGCAAGCCCGCCTGGTTGGGCAGGATAATGTTGGCAGGGTCGACGACGATCTGGGCACCGTTGGGCAGACTGGGGGCCTTGGAGCCATAGGGCAGGATGACGGTCTGGCCGATCTGGCCGAACGGGTTGTTGGGGTCATAGGCGACGATGTTGCCGCTGAGACCGGAAATACCAGCGAGACCAGACGACGAGGCGTTGACGTTGCTCACGACGGAGGCGCCGCTGGCGGATGCGGCCGCTGCGGTAGTGGCGACCGACGCCGAAGCGGCAGAGGCGGCCGAGGCCACGACGCCCGAGGGCAGGACAGTCGCATTAGCGCCCAGCAAACCAGCAAGGTCGAGCGTGGGCTGGGCAGCATTGATGGTCACGGGATTGGCGGCAGTCATCATCACGACAACTGTGCTTCCAGGCTTGTTGTTGTCAGCGAGCAGCTGGTTGACCATGTAACGCGAGTTGCGGCTACCGGCGCCGCCGCGGAGATCGACCAGCTCGGTGACGGACACAATGACGGTGTTGACCTGGGAGAAGCGGGCCGCGAAGTGGTTGACGCGGATGTTGTTCTTGATGGTTTCGACCTCGTTCACGAGGGCGAGCTGGGACTGCACAAGGGCAGAGAACTCCTGCTCGGCCACAACGGCCAGCTGGTTGACAAGGTCCAGGTTCTCTTGGACAACGGTGATCTGCGGCTGGAGAATCGTCTGCTCGACGACGACGTGGGTGCTGCCAACAACTGCTGCAGGCGAGATACCGACAATGGTAGCACCATTGTTGTTGCCGTTGTTGTTGTTCTTACTGTTTTTCTTGTTGCCGTTGTTGTTGTTGGTGCGAGCAGCAACGGCATGGATCTCGTGAGCGGGCGCTGTTTTATTAGTCAAAGATTCTGAAGAATGAAAAAGAGCTACTCGTATACAAGATCGTACCTGCGGATGCCAAGGAGCCAAAGCCGGCCAAGACTGCCAGGGCTGTAGAGTAATGCATCGTGAAAATTTGTGGGCTGTGAGAGGATGGGACAAAAAAAAATAGACGAGAAAAACGTCGAGGTGCAAAGAAAAGAATGAATGACCAAAGCACTCGATGTATAAAGGCCCTGTCAAAGGGAGGTGGTTTTGATTTGGTAAGAGTGTGCGAAGAAAGAAACGAGAGGTATAAAAAAGCCAGTGTCAGTCAATGACAGAAATGCAGCCTCTTGGGCGCGGGAAGAGCAGAAAGATGAAGAAAAAAAGAAGAATAAAAAGAAAGTAACTAGGTTTGAAAAAAGGAATGTCGTAGCGAGGTACGGAATAGAAAAGGAAAGAGAAAGAGAAAGGGAGAGAGGCAACAGAAAAGAAAAAGAGGAGAAAGAGAAACAAAATAGGAAGATCATTGATGTGCAGCCAGGCCACCGTCCAGATATATATATGACGGGCTCATCATCATGCATTACGAGGCGTGGGAGATACAAGAGGTGAGAGGTGAGAGGCGAGAGGGCGTGCATGACGATTCACAGCCATGGCCGTGCCTCGCGATCGACGGATTGTCCCCTCTCCCTCTCTCTGTTCAGCCGTGACGTCGTAACAGCATCACATCGCAAACTCTGCACCCCTCCTTACTTCCTTACACTATGCTACAGAGCCTGAGACTTCTTGGCAAAACCAACGACCAGCGAGGTAGTTCTAGGGCTTCGAGAGGCTCAGCAGTTGAGCTGTAACATCGCGTTATTGTGTGCCCTTTTGTTGTGAACAATCTTATCTTTCAGGCTAACATCTGGTCTTGTGTTTTGTGTGAAGCACTAATACAAGACGTTTAACCGCAGTCCGAATGCTTCCATCTATGGAACCAGACCATACAAAGAGTTTCCAGGGTCCAATCCAGGTCGCCCATAAGGGGGCGAGATGCGGGATGGAATAGCGTTACGCTGTTCCAGGTTGAGAGAGACAAAGACAGGGAAAGAAAAGACGAGGTAACAACGGCAGACACACACAGGACTCACGAAGACAGACAGATTAGACGGCCTATCTCTCTTGTCATCTCGATTTTGTGCAGCGTATACCAACATACTTTCGACAGTGTCGCTGCTTTCGACATGGCACCAATCTCTTTTTGCAAGGGTTGAAGGAGGACAGGAGGCTCTGTTTTCAACGGCAAAGCTGCCATCCGAGAAACCTGCGAATGCACAGCCTACCTTCCATACCTTTTCTCCGAACGCTATGCAGTGCGTCAGATGGGGAAAAGTTTCTGTTGGGCAACACGGGGAGATGCAAGAAGGAGAAAGCTTCATGGTGAAGGTGAGTTTATTTGGCGGAGGTGGGACGTGACGGAGGCCACTAGCTTTAGTGACAGGGGGCAGGTTCAAAATAAGTTTAGGGCACGAGCCGCGTGCTGGATAAGCCGGTAGTATAGTGGGCGGCGGGTCCGGGGTTGCTTCCAGGACTTGAGTTGTATTGCTAGTGTATTTTGCCCTGTTTTTAGAGTTTAGCTTTAGCTTCTGTCAGCTCTCCATTTGCAATCTATTTTCTTCGGCACCTGGCGCCGCACAGAGCCTCTCCCTCAACGACCCCTGGTCCAGGTTTCCCAGACGTGTTTTGTTTTGCATCGAAAACCCAACACCATCAATGCGTGGAGATTTCAGACGGGGCACTGTGAGTGTGATTGCAAATAGAAAGAAACGGATTTTATTAATTTTATTTTTTTAAAGGAGAAACGCCAAACATAAACTTCAGACCAGGACAAGGCACCAACGTTCGCTCATCATCTGGACGATGTCCGTTCTTTGTGCACATATTTCCTTGGAGAGAGAAAATCAGATCTACAAAGAGCACACCTTCGCTGTCTGCGTCACATCTGGGCATCTGGGTGCTGACCGAGTAGCAAATCATATGGAACATTCTGCCGCCCAAACTCCAGCATGTTCTTTGCAGACAACTTTTCTTTCATATATATTCGACGCTATCTTCAAACATGGGTCCTCGCCAAGCAGCCCGTCATCGACACTCTTTTGTACCAAAGGCCAAGACTTATTCGATTACAAGAACTCATAAAAGGGTGAAGTGAAATCTTGTAGTAAAACCCACAAGCAAAGTATTGCCATAGTAGACTTGCCAGGCGTATGAAGCATAATATAAAAATACAAATCGTTGCAAAAATGTAACGGCAGCCTCAAACGTTTTGACAAATAGTTACAACTTTTAGTACTGGCCGGGAAGAGGCATGTTGTCCGTACTCTGCTGCACCGTAGAGAATCTGTAGTCAAAGTGTGTTTTAAGATCTTGAGTAAATTCCTGTCGCCGAACTGGAATCTGTATAATAAGTTGCTCGAGAACAATGCCTTTCGGAGAAAAGTAGATAAAGGACACAAAAGCGGCATGACGATGGAGGCGCAGTTAGACTTGTATTGAAAACAAAATAAAGCTTCCAGACGGTAGTATGAAACAGACGTCGAGAGGCCGTAGGTCGTTTTGTAACGGAGTCACGGCGCTAAGTCGAGCCAAACTGGCTGTTTCGCAAGAAGAATTATATGAAATAAGAATAAAGTAAATGGCAAGAAAGTAAATGGCAAGAAAGCAAAAATAAAGTATCATTATCTCTCCTTATTTGTTATATTTTGTGGGTAAACTAAATTCAAAGATCCGAAACTGCCACTCAAATTCAATTTTGTGGTCCCTACCGCAACACCATTGAACCATCGAGTCATAATTTAAAAGAAATTGACAAGAGGGTATCATCCAAGTAAAACCACCCCAATCATAGATAGAACTTGTTGAAGCCCCATAGCAAAAGTAGTACACTCGCTGCCCGGATTTGAACACCCAAGTTTGTTGGACTCAGGTGTATGGCCGGCGGCTCCTTGGCGGCCGTCAAAGAGTCATCATCGCCATACTCTGGGAGCTCATAGTGTCCAGAATCAAAAGCGGCTAAACTGGCGTCGATACCGATGACGGGGCCTCTTATGCTTGCAGGTAAGGGCGAATGTCCCCCATACTCCGCAACACGGTCTCCGAACAGTAGTAGACTTAGAAAGCGGGTAGACTTGTATGTGTGTCGAGCGACAAGTAAGAAAACAACGGTGATGCTAACAATCTCGAGGCAATGTACGGTCGCAATCTTGGCTCTGGAGACGTTCTCCAGGAAAGAAGCGCCTTCTTCAACGGCGGATGGATACAGGGACAGGAGTCGGAGGTGGCCGGTCCCATTTCCAGACAGGAGGATGTGGTTGTGCAAGACAAATAGTTCAAGAGCCATGGTGCCCAACGCTGCTGGCAACATCATGTATCTTGCACGCAGCTGGCTGTGGCAGTTCCGCACAACGGCGAAACAGGCAACCGCAACACTCGTTATGTAGGGATGCGATGTGTCGTCTTCAACAAGCGGCGACATGGATGTAGCGCTGGCAAACCCGAAAAAGAAGACGGAGCTGAATATGACAATCATAGTCTGGATAGGAGCAGTAAATTCATCCCGGTACAGAACGGCAATCAAGACCCGGTCCAACCACCCCGCGTCCTGGCTAACAGAGTTTCGGACACGTACATCGTCTGGCAACGAGGTACCGAAGTTGGGGTTGGTGCTGTTCGTCGAGTTGGCTCGGGCTCGACCATCGAAGAGTCTGACTCCGTTGATGCTCGGCCCAGTACTGGTATGTGGACGTACGTTTGATTCGGAGAATTTTCCAGAAAGAAACATTCGTTCTTGTTCCTGCTGGCGCTGTATTCGATCGCAGACAATGGCGGCTCGCTGTGCGACCACGGCGACCACCATACCCACATACGGCGCACACCAGTTTGTATAGACAGCCACGCTCATGTCTTCGACAGCCCATGTCGTTCGTTCGTCAAACAAATAAGTACCCGCCTTGTTTATGGTCTCAAAAAGACCGAAGGGCCCGGGATGCAAGCCAATATATACGAGAACAGTGGCGGATACACAAATTCGGAGCAATAGCAAATGAGGTCGGCTCCGATTTGTGTGAGAACCGATTCGTAGCGTGATATAGACGATGAGAAACCAAAAGGATATAAGGCGGGGGAAGTAGTAAAGACGAGACACGCTGTTTGCAGTCGCCGTATCGGGGCCGTCTAGCATAAGAGCCAGCAAGCACGGTAGGATATTAAGGCGAAAAAGAACTGACGCTACTCGGTGGAACGAGAAGTCGTTTACTCGCAGAAAATAGGACGCATGACCGAAAGCAGACAGGAAAAGATACGATGCAGTGAAAAAGCCAGACCATCTGACAACGATGGACGTTTGGGTGGTGTCCTGGTATGCGAGGAGTAAAAAGGCAACCTGCATAAGGCCCTTCCACTCATTCGAAATGTGTCGAGGTAGAAAGTCTACCTCTGACAAAGATGCCCGATGCGGCGATGTTGGTGGCGGACCTCTCAATTTCCAGACGTATCTTTTTTGGTAAACAAGGAACACAATCACCGACAAGACCGAAACAAAACATAGCCAGCCCACATTGTAATGCTTCTCTGACTTGGCGAAGGCATGTGAGCGATCGGCTATATAGCAATAGAGGGCGGCAAGGCCAACAAATGTGCATGATAAATGGGATGCCAACAAGGCAGCTCGGCCTTTGAAAACAAATATGAGGGTGGGAACAAAAATGGCAGCGCAAAGGATGTACCAGAGCAGCCTCTGTGCGCGGGCAGGTGTTGGATAGGCGGCACAGCACGTCGTCGTATGGACGAGGCTTGGCACTGGCTGATCGGCAGCAGGACGCCCGAGAAGTAGTCCATTGCAGCGTGCGTTTAGCGGGATATCGATCCACCGCTCCGCAACGGACGCAGTGACATGCAAGCCCGTGTCCTCATAGGCTTCGGGAATGTGGTTGGTCATATCGTTGTAAGAGGTCAGAATGTGGGACTGTACGGCGGGTGACACATTTGCGAGGTAGTTGTTCATGCGCTTGATCCGATCCGGCGAAATCGCTTCGGCACGTCCAGGCAGAAGCATCTCGTACCGGGGGATCGTGACCGGCGCGAGAAAGACGTAATTTGCAGAGTGTTGTCCGTCAAAAGGACGCACCTCGTCACCCATGACACGGGTCACTCGATCGGTTGCTGTGCAAAAGGTGTCGAAATATTTGTCGTCCGCTGCATTACGTGCAGCCCAGAGTCCGACCGATCCTATGATGACCAAATCTGGCTTCAATTCCGTGCCAGCGTGCTTGTCGCCGCCGGGCTCCATCATACGGATCTCGTCGTCAAGCGCCGTCGAGTTCAGCCACGGGTCCCAAATAAAATGCAGGTGGACCGTTTCCGAGTCAATGGCCAGGTCATGTCGGGGGTTGCTCTCGGTGAACGTCGTTCGCAGAAGCCATTCGGCCACCTCGTGCTCGAGCCGGGTCAATGCGGCAAAGAAGAGCACACGCATGGTCGTGTCGCCGACAAAGAGCACGCGCTTGCCACCCAAACACTCACGGATGTCTTCTCGCGAATACTCGTGCATGCGGCAGCCGGCCGGCTCCCACTTGTCAAACGGCCGTGCCGGAGGCGGCTCGCGGCCCTCACGCTGGAGTGTCTCGAGCTGCTCATAGTCTGCGGCGGCATTGACCTTTGGAGGTGCGTATGGTGGCCAGGAGCCGTGCCGTATGAGAGCCCGGCACCTGTACGGATCGGCGGCGTCTGCAAAACTGTTAGCTTGTGTCTTTTCATAAGCCCATTCCACCATTGTTTCGTTTTCATATGCTGGCCACGTACTTGATAAGGCCTGCAGAACAAGTCCCAAACAAAACAGCGTCAGTGACAGGCGCACGATGACATTGGCGATACCATGGCCTACGTCGAGCAGGCCACAAATAGTGCGGCCGAGCAATATCACGGACCGCGTCCCAACTCGCAGCGGCGCTCTCCACACCATCTCCGAATCACCATGCACAGGAAGCGATGGGGGGAGAGTGGGAAAAAGGCACGCGATCACTATTTCCTTGGCTCATGGCATTTGAGGACCTTGTTAGGAAGATATGGGGATAGGCAGACTGAAAGGATGACGTAACAGTTCTTGAAGAATGGGAGGCTAAGTACAACATAGAAGAAGGATGACAAAAATAGGACGCAAAGGAGAAAGGCACCGCAGTATGAAGGAGAAGCGCTAGGATCGTGCCTTCTCTGTGACCGATAGCTTGATGGGGAAGGAGCTGTGGGAGAGAGTCGGGAAGGAAGGAAGCGTCTTTTCTTTGGCTGTGTCCACCACAAGCGCAATCGTTTCATCAAGCTAATATAGCTCGCACGAAACACTGAATTGCTTCCTCTCCCAGCAGTATTATTACGCCAAAGTTATCCGAGTGTGTGGTATGCATACGTATGCTCGTTTTGTTCCTCGGATAGCCGCAATTGGATCCACCCACAATTGCACATTACGAAGTACAAGTAAAAGCCAAGAGCTTTGCCAAGCCAGACTGAATGGGAAAGAGCGCACGCGTTTCCGCACTTTCCAAACAGACACTGTTACAGTTAGGTCTGATAGTGTTGAGTGAGGAAGGCACGTCTGACAGATCACTGCCTCGTCTACTCACTATGAGGAGACAGTAGCTATGATGTGAGTTTTTAGCGCATGTACGTTGTTGAGGCACATACGACATACGGATTATGAAATTGCGTATATTTTGTTTGGCCTTTGCATCCCTCTCGGACAATTGGTGTAAGTCGACCCACTGTCGCGTGAGGTTTAGAACCAGGCGGGTCGAGACTGCTAAAGGAAATCCTTGTTCCCGGTGAAGATAGGGTGAATGTTGGGTGCTTATCAACACGTGATATAGCTACCATAATATCGTGCACCACAATTTCATTTTCTCACTTCAAATTTTCTCCCAGTGCACCACTGACCACAACAACACACCATTCTCCATGTACTCCGTATGCTGATACGCCATGGGACGTCGTGCACGACGGCGTTTCGATACAGTATGGCAATGATATATGTCGCTATTACTGATATACATACAAGCCGTCTCTGCAGCGACCAGGTTTGCTTCGTAGGTCTCGCTTCCGAGACAGCACCTTTCTCTCTTTTTTTGCTTTTTTTTTCTCCATCTCTTCACTGTCTCATGCCAATCTCGACCATCTGACCCTTTTTCATATCCTACGGCTGGTCTTGAGTTAGGATGCGGGTGACGCTTGTGTTCTCCATTCGGGGCGACATCGGTGGCAAGCCGTACTAGACAAGAGCAACATCCAACACTCTTTGAGTGCGGGCCCTTCTTTCTGTGCATCTATGGAGGTTTCCTGCAATTAAGTTGTTGTAACATCTAATACAACCCCGATTCCCGGCGATTGAATCGACCGATCCATCCCTACAATGCCTGGGATGCGCCCACCACGAATACCAACGCCATCGTCCTCCAGAAAACAGCCTTTTGGACAGCCAAGGCCACGCCGGTGCTCCGACTGGCCGCGCCCTGCTGCATCTCTTGCGTGATTGTCCGGCCCACCGTCGTCGCCGCCGTGAGACCGTTGAGGTTGTCGGCCGTGGTGATGGCCGGTCCGCGGTTGAAAAAGTCGACGAGCAGAAACGCAGGCTTCGTGCCGCCCCATTGCGTTGTGCACCGATTGGCTTGCGCACCCAGCGTGCCCGAGATGCCGTCACCGCCGTTGCTGCCGCCGCCGGTCCCCGTCGTATCCGGGCTGTTGGTGACGTCAATGTCGCTGACGTCCGGGATCTGGATGGTGCTGCTGACCTTGGCGTAGGCAAAGTGGTTGAGCAGTGGCAGCATGCCGCGCCTCAAGGCCGCCGCAGCCGATCCTGCTGAGGGCGGACGGTCCAGCGAGCAGTTGCTGAACTGGACGAGGTTCGTAACCATGTAGGGCGTCTCAAAGACGTGGTCAAACTCGTTGAGCAGGTACGGGTAGCTTGCGTCGGCCGCAATCGAGGCAATAAACGTGACGAGACGTGTGTTGGCGGCAATCATGGCTTGCAGCGTCGGCCAGCCCGCGGCGCCTTGTTGGCTGGCCGAGCGCGCATAGCCGTACTTGGACAGGCCGGCTTGCTGGAAAATGCGGCCAAACACCGCCGCCGCCTGGTTGTCGCTGTTGACGAGGAGCAGCGTCACGACATCGTGCGGATTGGTGTCCATCCATCGGGCGACGAGGCCCAGCCATGTTTCCAGGAGGCCGGCGTTGAGCAAACCACAGCTTGTGTGGCAGAGAAAGAGGGTGCCGTTCAAAAAGTGCACCTGGGCCTGGAGCAGACGGACGCCAGCCGAAAGTGCCAGTGTTGCATTGAAGAACTGGTCGCCGGCGATGGCGCTGAGCTCGTGTGAGTCGCGAAGAAAAGCGCTGTCGTGGGCGCCGAGGTGAGTGACGCTGCTGTAGCTACGGCCGCACAATAACGGCGAGTTGTTGCAGGCCATTCCTGTTGATGACGACGATGACGACACGGGTGATGAATGTGATTGGGATGGCGATGGGGTGCGTCCACCAAGGCCCGCTGCCGTCCCTGATGCGCTCGGACAGCCATCACGGCCCGCTTCATCTGCATCTGCATCGGGTCTGATAAATGGCTCGTTAGAAAGCGGCTTGCTCTGGATGTCAAGGGTGCTGCCGTCGGCCGGGATGGCCGATGCCCTTAGTACAGGCAATGCCTGTAAGAGAAGGAAGAGCTGCAAGGGAGGTTTCATTGCGTGCTATGTCAGTACTATGTGAGAGCATATAATTGATTTTGGATACGATTTTTGTATCTGGAGATGGCAAAAATGGCTGAATATCATGTGTTTGTGATGTGGAAAACTAGGGAACATGAAACGAGATGGCTTAGATATGGCATCATTACTTGTGGTGCGCCAGCTAAGACGAACAAAAGGACCTGATTGTTTGGTAAACAGACGGCTTGCCAAGTATAAACACAGAAATCTTTGGCGAGCCTGGAGGACGACGATATTAACCGGCGTGTGGAGGGCGCGAAGGAAAAAAGACGTGGTAAACAAAGGGCGTCCTTGGGCATCATTGGTTAGGCTGAACTTGACCATTTTCTTCAACCATATAAGTGCTGCCCATGTTATAAGGCTGCCCTTAATATGTGGCACAGGACACGACACCATGCAATACGCTTTACACTCGGGTTTGTTGGATATTCGTCCGCAGGACACACAGGCACAAACGGCAATGAAGCCCAGAGAGGCCACATCTGTACATTATGATACTCGCCAGTGGAGACACGAAACACACCTAAGTAAAAAGAAAGGACCTGCACAGCCCGCCGCCAGGCACGACGCAGGAGATGGAAGTCGGACATGAGTGCATGGAAATTGGAAACGAAATAAGAGGCAGGCAAAGAAAATTAAAACAAACAAAAAAAATACAAAGGGGACATGAGTGGAGGGAGAAAAATAAAGACCTCCTCCCATCCCGTCCTTTCCGACCAGCACGCCTTTCATAAAACACAGAACAACAAAAGAAGCCCACGACAAACCCAGACCGACGAAATAGCCTTTGCAGCGTTTCCTTCTCTCTTACTGCTTCTGACCGTCCACAAAGTTCAGCGCCTCCTCTGTAGCCACGCACCCAATCGAGCTCGTCTTATTGGTAAACGTCACACCGTAGCACTTGTCGGCCACCTGCACAATCTCCGGTCGGAAGGTCGTGCAGATGAACTGCGTGCCTGCATCCTTGGAAATGGAGGACAGCAAGCTCGCCACGGCCGTGCGGTACTGCGCGTCCAGGTTTGCGTCGACCTCGTCAAAGACCACCATGGGGCTGGGATCTGTCTGCTGGATCGCAAACACCAGGCACAGCGCGCACAGACTCTTCTGGCCGCCACTCAGCTGCTGCACCTTTTGCTGCTCGTCCATGTGCTTCGAGTTGAACGACACGCTGATGCCCACGCCCGTGTAGCTTTCGACGCTGCGGCGCTGCCTCCGCAGCGCCGACGACCCGCCGGCCGCTTCGTCGTCCTCATCGTCGCCGTTCTCCTCCTGTTGCCGGCCGTCTCGCCGCTGGATCACCAAACGGCCGTGACCGGCCGGCACCAGCCGCTCAAAGATGGTGGCAAACTCCTTGGAGATCTGCTTGAATGTCCGCTCAATAGACTCGTCCTTGACGCGGTCAAGATGTGCCACGAGCTCCTCAATGGAGGCCTGCGACGCATCAAGCTCTTCACGCCGCTTGAGCAGCTGCTCCTGCTGGTTGGTGAAGCTGTTGTACTGCTCAAACGCCTTCTTGTTGACGTGCCGGTATTTCTTGAGCGCTTCGAGGACGGTCTTGAGGCGTTTCGAGATCTGGGTCGGTGTTAGTTATGGAAAAATCACATACGGGGACAAGCTCCATAAGGAGTGCAGAGGGGTGACGAAGGGGGCTAAATATACCTTGGACGGGTCCATCCGCTCGTACTTCTCAAACGCCTCCTCGGGAAGCACACCGAGCTCGCGAATGTTCTTGGCGGCCTCGGCCAGCTGCTGCGTCAGAAGTGCCCGCCGCTGCAGGCTCTTCTCCATCCGCTTCTGGCTCTTCTCCAGGGTGGTCGCAATCTCCTGCTGCTTCCGCTCCAGTTCGACCTTGTTCGCCTGTAGATCGCTAATCTCCGCCTGCTGCTCGTCCATCTCGTTGAGTGTCTCGCGCAGCCGCGTCTCCTTCTCGTCGAGCCGTTTCTGCAGCTTCTTGAGCTCCTTTTGCGCCTCGGCGTAGTTGCCGTCGCCGCCCACCGACGTCATGGTCTCAAACACCTGGCTTGTGAGCTGGTCCTCCTTCATGCGAAGGTTCTGACGGAGGTCAACGTCCAGAATCTGCTTCTGGCCCTCAATCTCGCGGCGCCGGCTGGTCGCCTCGTTCACCTGCCGCTGCAGCGCCTGGACCTCGTTGTTAAGGTGGTCGAGCTGCTGCTCTTCGGCCGCCGAAAGGGCCTTTTTGAACTCGGATTTGCGCTCGGCCTCGTGCGACTCGAGCGACGTCGCGTACTCTTCCATGCTCTTGTTGATGTTTTCGTAGCGGTTGCTCAGCGTATCCTGGCGCGCTCGCTCCCGCTCGAGCTGCGCTCTCTTGGCGCTGAGCTCCGCACGACTAGGCCCGAAGCCTTCCTCGAGCTGCCGCATCTGGTGAAGAATCTTTTGCTCTTCGCCGCGGGCGCTGGTAACCTCCTGCTCCTTCCGGTCCATCTGCCGCTTCACGTCGTCGGCTTGCGCCACGAGGCTGTCGTGTTCGCCGCGCCACTTGTTCATGGAACGGATAGCTTCGAGACGCGACCGAGATGGGTCCACGTAGCCGCCGGTCATCGTACCCGTGCGCTTCGTCGTGTCACCCTCAGGCGTGATGCCGTCCACACCGTGGCTGCGGCCGTACTGGGCGGCCACTGACACCGTCGGACAGACAACGGTACTGCCAAACACGTGCTGGAAGGCCTTTTCAAACTTCTTGTCAAACTGAATCTTGTCGACCAGGGGGAGAGCATCCTTGGCGCCCTGCGGGAAGTTGGCCTGCCGTGGGCGCAGCTGCTCAAGAGGAATAAATGTGATGCGGCCACCCTGCTGACGGTACAGGGCATTGGACAGGAGGGTACTCGTCTCCTCGTTGTCGACAACATAATGGAACAGGCTGTTGCCAGCAATGACCTCTGCGGGGATACGGTACGCCTCGTTGACCTCCATCAGGTCTGCCAGCATACCATAGGCACCTGGAATGTCCTTCTCGCGCTTCATGCGCTCAATGGTGGCCAGGCCCCTTGCTGTTGCGTTGTCCATCATGTTGCTGAGTGTGCGGCTGGCCTTGTCTCTCTCCTGCCGGGCGTTTGATATATGTGTGTTGAGCTTGTCGTCTTCGCGACGCAAGGCCCTCCGTTCGTCGTCGAGTTTCTGCACTTTGTCCTGTGCCTTGGATAGCTTGTCGGCAAGCGCGGTGCGGTCGGAACCGAAGCTCTCAATGCCCTTCCACAGATCCTCGATCTCGGCTTCGAGCGACTGAATCAGGCGCTTCGCCTCCTCCGTCTCTTCGGCAGCTGACACACGGTTGGCCCGCAGGGCGGCCAGGGTGCTGTTCAGCTCCGTAAGCTGGCTATCAATCCACCGATCACGCTCCGACTTGTTCTTGAAGCGATCACCTTGCGACTGCTTGTTCAGGAGGCGCTGGCGGCGGGCGTCCAGGGACTGGAGCGCCTGGCGACCCTCGGCCTCGGCGGCTCTGCGCTTCTCGAGATCCGGGAGAATGCGAGCCAGCTGGCTCTCCTTGGCGGCAATCTCGGCGCGCACAGCCTTGAGCTCGGCGTCGTGCTGCTGCCTCGCGCGGTCGACAGCGTTCTGGCTGTCGGCAAGGCTCTTCACCTTGAGCTCCGCCTTGGCTTTGCTGCGAGAAATGTCTCTGCATTCCGATTCAAACTCTTGGCGATCCATGTTGAGGATGTCCACGGACCGCTGCAGCTCTTGGAGCTCACTGTCGATCCGCAGAATGGCGTTTTCGCCGTCGAGGAACAGCTTCTGGCTCGCGCCGGAGTTGTCGGCGCCGTCCTGGCGCGAACGGTCAATCTCCTCTAGCGCTTCTGTCAAAGCGACCTGGTGGTGGTGGTGGAACGCGTACTCCAGGCACCGCCGTTCACGATCCTTCTCCTGAAAACCGCGCAGCTCTTCCTTCTCTTCCTCGAGCTCGCTCATCCGCGACCGGATATACTCCAAAAGCTCGTCGATCTTGGCTCTCTTGTTCTCCGTCTCACCCATAATCTTGAGCGACTCGGCACGCCGGGCCTCGTAACTCTCGGTACCGGCGACCTCCTTGAGCAACTTGAGGCGATCGGACTCCTTCATGTTGGTCAGGGCCGTGACACGGCCCTGGGGGACAATGTAGTACGAGTTCTTCAGCGAGAAACCAGCCGTGTCGAGCATGCTCATGACCTCGCTCCGCGTCGACACCTTTTTGTCCACGGCATACTCGTCTTTCCGCAGGCTGATGGTCCGGCGGAGCGACACCTCTCTATTGTTCGTCTGGAAACGGTTGTCGCTGTTGTCGAAGATGATCTCCACGTAGGCGGAGAGGACGGCAGAGCCCGAACCCTCGTGCAAGAGGGCCTGGCGCTCCTCGCGGCTCAACTGTGTGTAGGCGTCACCGAGAACAAAACGAATGGCGGCAAAGAAGTTGCTCTTGCCCGAACCGTTGCGACCGACAATGACATTGGTGCCGGGCGAGAAGGGTTCCATGACCGTCTGGTCCTTGTAGCTAGAGGGAGACGCGACATGTTAGAACAACAGGGCGGGCGGCCACGGCAGAATACATCCCGCGATGTCGCGGTTGACGCGGACAAGGACATACCTCTTGAAGCCCTGGATAATGAGCTGCTTGATATACATGTTGGCGGTGGGTGCTGCCAACGGGCAGCGACGTCGCGCGTTAGATAGGGGGAGGACAGTCGGATGTCGAGCTTGCGCAGAGCGATGGGCAGCGGCACGGACGACAAAGGCGACGTCAGCGGTGACCGGAGGGGTGATACTGCGCGTCCGTGAATTGAGTCGGCTCCGTTCGTTGTCGCGATTGTGGATTCTGCAGGCGTCGGTGGCTACAGCACGCACGCAGTGATGTGCTAAATGGGGAGTCGACGCGTCGCGGGCGCAAAGGGAATAACTGATGCGACTAAACGCACGGGCCACGGACACGAGCGGCGCGGGGCATAACAGGCGTTTACTTGTGTTTCAGTGCCGGTGTCACAGCAGATGGTGTATTTGCAAACGCGACCATTTCAACTAAATCACGTGATGTCTTTCGTCTGACGAGTTGTCGTAAGATCCAGGGGATGCAGGGGCATGGCTGAAGCGTGTTGCAAAAGCCACTGTATTACGACGTATTTGTATGTTGTAGTGCCCAAACAGAAGGCACGTAAAACAAATGAGACCTAAAGAGTGAAAGGAAAGAGCGGTCGAGCAAAATGCGAATTGGAGAGTGCGAAAGTTCACGTAAACGCTTCGAGAAGGAGCCCACACACTGCGTTGAAAAATGCACAAAGGTTTCACGTACGGATACAGCAAAAAAGACCTCGAGTTGTGGAGGATCAGCGACAACAGTGCGAATCGGAGCAAATTGTGATGGGCGGGGACTTCTGGGCTGTCCGGGGACGCAGCTCGTTGCAAGGGGTATTTTTTATTTTATTTTCGGGAGCCGTCCCTTGATGTGCTGTTTCGCACGGTCTGGCCAGGCCGAAGCGCTGCAAATCGACGCCGTATTCGTGCCTGGGGCTGGCTCAAGATCGGATCGGTCGGGTTTGCCCTTGAGGCTGTGAGGCACAGGCGGCATGGCTTGATGCAGACGGGCAGTTTTAACGAGTCCTTGCAGGTGACCACGGCCGAGCCTAGGCGCAAAGATACTTGTCTGGCATGCAGCGGTTGTAAACGTCGTACGGAACAACACCTTATATTTTTATTAATACGTTGTACTTCATACGTTGTATCTTACCATAGCATCAATCCATTTCAAATAGTCGTTAACTCGACATGACAGCTGCGTCTCTCATGTCGACTGCAGTATTACGCCTTTCTCGAGATCAGCAGCGTATCAGATAGAAACGTTTGGAATGTGAGTAAGACGCCAAGTACTTCGGTTCTCTCCATCATCGCAGAAACTATCAAACCGAAGCGCTCGTTTGGCCAGGCACGTTTTGGCGCGCCCAGTACGTTGCTACGAGGCTGTGGCCTGGCCGTTGCTCTTCTCTCGGTTGTCCGTGATGGGATGTTCTATACGCCAGCCACGAGCCATAGTGTGGCATCATGTTCTCGGCGCTTGCTCAGGCAGCAGCAACGACAAGCAGGCACCGATCATATTGGGCTATGCGAACCCGCCGAATTATGACTGCGACGGACCATGTGGTCTTCAGACGCTGCAGTGTCAAGATGCATCTAGCGGCAAATGATTGACCGCGCACAAAATGCCACAAAACAGAAAGTGGTGCACAAGAAAAAGAAAAACAATCGAAAGGCGCAGGCCCAGTTAACCCCGGACGGACAAAGTAACCTTAGTACAGGTTGAAGATGAAAAGAGCACGAAGCGAAGAGTGCCATGATGTTTGTGAGCTGCCAATATTTTATGCTTGGTAGTGGAGAGTGGTCTTGTATTGTTCAGGCCAAGTGTCGGAGAAGAGGGAAAAGACACTTCAAAAGGGCAATGGCGAGCAAATTGATACGAATAAAAGACGAGCGAAACGAACCAGCCAAGTCAGAGCTTTGGGTGGAGAGGCAACTGACGCTAAGACCGTGCGCGGCCTACCCGGCTCCTGCTGGCTTAGAGCCGGTAGGGGGCGGAAGGGAAAGTTGAAAACGTGTATAAAAATACTGCATTGTCATATAGACCGCCGCCCGCCCACTCTTTTTTTTTGTCTGCTGCTGTGTTGACTCGCGCCTTCCCTGCCAAGTTTTGCTGACTGCGTAGCACAACACCGCAACGCGTAGGAGCCACACACCAACTCGCACCACCCATCACTCGCCACGCGCTAGTCCTCCGCGCATGCTCTTTCCCAGCCAGCGGCACGGCAGCAAATAAAAGTACAACATAACCACTGGGCGCCGCCACTGCTGCAGCTACAGCAAGCTCTTTATTTTCCTATTTCTTTTTGCAGCGCATCGTCCCACGATTGATTCGCGCCCTGGCGGATCTCGATTTTATGTGAGTCTTCCTATCGCTGATTGATATTCATCTCATGCCGCCCTATTCTGCATCTCGTTCATATCCCAATCACTTGGGTGACGAGGTTGCATGCATTATGCGCGTCTTTCGTCACCAAGTCCTCCGCTACTGCCTTTTCACGATGATCCGCTGCACTGGCGTGGTGTGCGATCATATTATCACGTGATGGCACAGCCTTGGACGATTCGCCCTTCACCTCAAGTTCATCCCATCATGACGTTCATCTCAACAGGCGCAATCAATCATGTTTTCACACATTTGTTGCCACCGCGCTACCTACCTCATATGTACCTCACATGCCTCTTTGTTTCCGCTCCCCTTTCACTTCCCTTTTTCATCATTCATCCCTTACGGCCATTTCACAATCGCATGAGGTCGGCTAGGGCCGCTTTTCTATTTATATTTACGTGCCCCTGCCGCCGTTTTCTATTTTATCCATCTTCCCCCTGTTACAAACGTCACTTCGATCATGTTTTAACCCATCCAGAAACTAATACCAGCGACAGGCCGCAAAAGTCGATGCGGCACAGCGCTTGTTTGGCTCTTGCCTAATTCATAATCTCGACATGAAAACAGCAACATGGCGTCAAGGTTGGTCACGTGTATCACCCTCTTGCGCTTAAGGGTAATCTGCTAACCTTTGTCAACTTAGGCTTGATCGACTTGTCACGTAAGTATCATTGATGTCGTCACGCTGCCTCGCTGTCGTTCCTACCGAATCGCCATGACCAACAAAAACCAGGTCAACCCTTCCTCCGACTTGCTCTGCTAACACATGTCCACAGCATCCTTGAGACGGGCAGCACCCGCCTAATTCGGGACACAGCCGTCAACCAATTGGCCGACTGGCAAAAACAGCACCCGGAAGAGCTGTTCAATCTCATCGGCCGCGTTGTTCCCTACCTCCGCCACAAGGACTGGGAGACAAGAAGCACAGCAGCCAAAGCGCTCGGCAAGATTATCGAGCACTCTGATGCCTTTGATCCGAATGCTGGCGGACCCGAAGAGAGCGCCCCCGCAGAATCCAAGAAGGAGGAGGGTGGCGCGGGTGTGAAGTCAGAGGGTTCACTGGACGGAGTGGCCAAAGACGGTGTCGTGGATGTAAAAAGAGAAGAATTCAAAGACTTTTCTTTTGAGCAAGACGAGCTCTATGATCTGCGGACGCTCAACGTCAACGCCGTTCTCAAGTATGGGCGGGAACTGCTTCGGGGCGGCAATGTCGACCTGGCACTGGCCGCACTAGACCCGCAAGAACGTCTAATACACCAAAAAAAGACTCTCAACGGCCGCTTAGGCTTGCTCGGTCGCGTGTTTGATGATGATGAGATCCCGGTCCCGTTGGAAACGTTAAGTGCTGCAAAAAGCGCCGTGAGCGACGAGAACGGGCCCCCGACACCCCGGCACCAAGCCGGTTCCAATGGCTCGACGCATCGCGAAGGCAGCGAGGCCAACGGCGCATCAGCCAATGGCAACGGTGCTGGCCATCAGCAGTCCGATGAACCTGGCCTCAGTTCACGGCAGCTCAACGTTTTAAAACGCAAGCGGAAGCGCGAGCTGCAAAAGGCCGCCCAGGGCAAGAGCGGATTTGGCGACTTGTCTATCCGCCGGAGTGCCACGAACGGATCCGAAGGTTTTGGCGACGAAACTCCCTTTGGCGACGGCGACGTCAAAAAAGGCGACAAGGTCAACGACTACTTCAACCTCGAGCGCCCGTCGGATGTCGACGAGGATTCCAAGGTCGTCTCCGAGTTCAAGGGCCCCGTCGTCCCCATCAGGTCGGAGATTGAGATGGACGAAACGCTGGAAGGCCTGGAATGGCCCTACGAGCGGCTGTGCGATTTCCTCAAGGTGGATCTCTTCGATCCCCACTGGGAGACGCGCCACGGCGCGGCCATGGGTCTGCGGGAAGTCATACGTGTGCACGGCAGCGGCGCTGGCCGCGAAAAGGGCAAGACCCGCAGCGAAAACAACAACAACAACCGCAAATGGCTCGACGATCTGGCCTGTCGCCTTTGCTGTGTCCTGATGCTCGACCGCTTCACCGATTTCAGCTCCGACACCTCGGTGGCACCGATCCGCGAAACTGTCGGCCAAACTCTCGGTGCCGTCCTCTTTCACGTGCCGCCCGAGTCCATACAAGCGATATACCGCATTCTCTATCGTCTTGTCATCCAAGAGGACCTAGAGCTCGAGCGCAATGTTTGGGCCGTCTGCCATGGTGGCATGGTCGGCTTGCGTTATGTCGTCGCCGTGCGGAAGGACCTCCTCCTCCAGGATGGCGAGATGGTTGACGGCGTCATTCGCGCTGTTATGAAAGGCCTTGCTGATCACGACGACGACGTCCGCTCAGTCAGCGCGGCCACCTTGATACCTATGGCGAAGGAGTTCGTTAACCTGCGGCCCGGCTCTCTTGACTCATTAATAAATATTGTGTGGGAGAGTCTGTCCAGTCTTGGCGACGATCTGAGCGCCTCCACCGGCAAGATCATGGATCTTCTCGCAATTTTGTGCGGCTTCCCTCAAGTTTTGGACGCCATGAAGGCGTCAGCTGCGCAGGACGAAGAACGGTCCTTTACACTGCTTGTGCCGCGCCTCTACCCTTTCCTCAGACACACCATCACGTCTGTGCGCCTGGCTGTTCTCAAAGCCCTGATAACCTTCGTCCAGATCAGTGACGATGACACAAAGCACGGCTGGCTGAATGGCCGCATTCTGCGCCTGGTGTTCCAGAACATCATCGTGGAGCGGGACAAGGAGACTCTAGCGATGACACTGGACCTTTGGTCTGCCCTCGTGCGCTGCCTAGCCGCGACGAATCCGGCTGTCTTGGCTAGCGAATTTAAGCCACACGTCGATGCCATGATGCAACTCACACTGCACCCGATCGGGATCTCTCGCAATCCCATTCCAATGCGGCCCGAGCTGTTTATGAAGCCCTCGGGTAGCATGTATGCAGCCCCCAGCAGCTGGGTCGCATCTACCTCTACAGCTCGCAAGTCGTCCCCTCCAGAAGCTGGCGAGCGAACGGCCAAGCGTCGCCGTAAGTCGACGCGCGTGGACGATGTGCCGGTGACATCGAGCTCCCATGATGTGGACGGCGCCATAGTGCAAGGTGACGTTGACGTCGTTGGCATCGAAACTATGGTGCGCACACGCATCGCGGCTGCCACCGCGATGGGTTTGATCATGTCCCTTGTGCCGGCCAGCGAAGTCGATATGTACGATGCCAGCGTGCTACCCGCACTAACGTCGGCTCACTCGACGACCCAGCTGATTGCCTGTACTGTGATCGAAGAGTACGCAAAGGATTGCAAGGAGCCTGCTGACAGCAAACGCCTTGTCGAGCCCCTGCAAAAGATTGTGGAGACTGAGCGTCCGGCACACTACAACGACCTCGTCAGCTTCATCCAGCGTGTCCGTTCGCAGTGCTCGCAGCTTATCCACATGTTTCGCGATCATGGAAAGGTATCAGAAACGCGCTTGCCTCGTCTTGCACCGTTGTGCCAAGGCGAGCCTGCTGCTGGACCTGAGGCTTTCTCTATTGTTCACGCTGAAAAGGTGATCGGCGACGATTTTGACAAACTCAAGAGAATCATGGCACCTGGCCAACGACTGATTGCCAGCCAACACCTGGCTGAAGCCCGTGAGAGCGCGTCTGCTGCCATTGCGGATGCAAAAGCTGCCAAAGAAGCTCGGGATATCCGCATCCGAGCTGCCGCTGCCTGTGGCCTTGTTGCTATGAAGGTCTTGCCGAAGAAGCCGAGCCCCCTCATCAAAGCCGTCATGGACAGTATCAAGACCGAGGAGAACCACGACCTGCAGAGCCGCTCGGCCGACACGATCGCCCACCTCGTGCAGCTCTTTACTGAATTAGGCCGGCGAGGCCCAGCCGACAAAGTCGTCTCGAATCTAGTCAAGTTTTCCTGTGTCGAAGTGGCCGAAACGCCCGAGTTCCCCGTCCACGCTACCAAGCTCAACACGATTCTCTCTATGCACAAGGAGGAAGACCGTGTTGACCACGCCGATGCCGCCAAATGGGCCAAAGAGGCCAAGGCTGCTCGCGTGACACGCCGTGGTGCCAAGGAGGCGCTGGAGATCCTGTCAAAGATTTTCGGGCCAAACATACTCGAAAAGGTTCCCAGCCTGCGGACCTTCATGGAAGAGCCCCTGCGGCGGGCGTTCACCGGCGAGCTGCCAGCAGAAGCCCGCGATCCCGAGCAGACCTTTGGCCAGGAGATTGTAGACGCAATGTCGGTCATCCGCACCATGACGCCGACGTTTGATCCTGCCATCCGTCCCTTTGTCATGGAGATGGTGCCCCTCGTCATCAAAGCTCTGCATTCGGAACTGTCCGTCTTCCGATACATGGCCGCAAAGTGCATGGCGACTGTCTGCAGCGTCTTCACTGTCGAGGGTATGACGGCCCTGGTTCAAAACGTCTTGCCTTCGATCAACAACCCCGTCGACTTGCACTTCCGGCAAGGCGCCATCGAGGCGATCTACCACCTCATCGCCGTTATGGGCGATGGCATCCTACCATACGTTATCTTTTTAATTGTACCTGTTCTAGGCCGCATGAGCGACTCTGACAATGAGATCCGGCTCATTTCTACGACATCATTCGCCACCCTTGTCAAACTGGTGCCCCTCGAAGCTGGTATTCCTGACCCTCCAGGTCTCTCCAAGGAACTGTTGGCCGGTCGTGATCGTGAGCGGACATTCATCTCCCAGCTCCTGGATCCGAAGAAGGTCGAGTCGTTCACCATTCCTGTGGCCATCAAGGCCGAATTGCGGTCGTACCAACAGGAGGGCGTCAACTGGCTGCACTTCTTGAATAAGTACCATCTACATGGCATTTTGTGTGACGACATGGGCCTTGGCAAGACGTTGCAGACCATCTGCATCGTAGCGAGTGACCACCACCAGCGTGCCGAAGAATTTGAGAAGACCGGTGCGCCTGATGTCCGGCGCATGCCGTCATTGGTGGTGTGCCCGCCCACGCTTTCGGGCCATTGGGCGCAGGAAATTAGAACTTATGCGCCGTTCCTCTCTGTTGCCGCGTATATTGGCTCGCCCGTCGAACGCAAGGCCCTCAAGGACAGCCTTGGCAAGACCGATATCGTGATTACCTCGTACGATGTTTGCCGCAACGATATCGAGGTGCTGGAGAATCACAGTTGGAACTACGTCATCCTCGATGAGGGCCATTTGATCAAGAACCCACGCACCAAAATCAGTATGGCCGTCAAGAAGCTTGCCAGCAACCATCGCCTGATTCTCACTGGCACGCCCATCCAGAATAACGTCTTGGAGCTGTGGTCTCTGTTCGACTTCCTCATGCCCGGATTCTTGGGTGCCGAGAAGGTGTTCATGGACCGCTTCGCCAAGCCCATTGCCGCGAGTCGGTTCAGCAAAGCCTCTTCAAAAGAGCAGGAAGCTGGTGCGCTGGCCATTGAAGCCCTGCACAAGCAAGTACTTCCCTTCTTGTTGCGGCGACTCAAGGAGGAGGTTCTCGAGGACCTGCCACCCAAGATCCTGCAAAACTACTACTGCGATCTCAGCGAGCTGCAAAAGAAGCTCTTTGACGACTTCACCAAACGCGAAGCCAAGAAGATCACAGAAGAAGCAGGCCGCGACGACAAGGAGTCCAAGCAGCATATCTTCCAAGCTCTCCAGTACATGCGCAAGCTCTGCAACTCGCCGGCGCTCGTCATGCGGCCCGGCCACCGGATGTACGACGAAACACAGCGGCTGCTGGAGCGCCAGGGTTCGAGCGTCGAGGATCCCAACCACGCACCCAAGCTCACGGCGCTCCGCGATCTGCTTGTCGACTGTGGTATTGGTGTTGAGGGCGATGGCGACAACAACGACCCGCTGTACCAGCCAATCAAGCCACATCGTGCTCTCGTCTTCTGCCAGATGAAGGAGATGCTCGATATGGTGCAAAACACCGTGCTAAAGAACATGCTACCATCTGTGTCGTACCTGCGCCTGGACGGTTCCGTTGAGGCCAACAAGCGGCAGGATATTGTCAACCGTTTCAACAGCGACCCATCCTACGATGTGCTGCTCCTGACGACAAGCGTCGGCGGACTGGGTCTTAACCTGACGGGTGCGGACACGGTCATCTTTGTCGAGCACGACTGGAACCCGCAGCGCGATCTGCAGGCCATGGACCGCGCGCATCGCATCGGCCAGAAGAAGGTTGTCAATGTGTACCGGCTCATCACGCGCGGCACGCTCGAAGAGAAGATTCTGAGTCTGCAGCGGTTCAAGATCGACGTCGCGTCCACGGTTGTCAACCAGCAGAATGCAGGCTTAGCCAGCATGGACACCAATGAAATCCTCGACTTGTTCAATCTAGACGAATCCGGACCCAACCTCTTGACGGATAAATCTGCCGCCGGTGCCACCGGTGCTTCGGGTCGGGAAGAGGACATGGTGGACATTGAGACGGGCGACGTGCGGCAGCCCGGCAAGAAGGCAGCGTGGCTGGAGGAACTCGACGAGCTGTGGGACAACCGGCAGTACGAGGAAAGCTTCGACCTGGACGGATTCTTAAAGACGATGAATTAAGGACCACTCGAGGGGAACAGGCGAAGCGGTTGTACAACACGAAGCGAGCTCGTCCTTTGAAATAGACCATTGGCAAGCAAGGGTAGTGCACGAACGCGTTCCTACGTCATGCCTTGCCTGCGGGAATGGAGGGAAAGTAAGATGTACGATACAACTATATATTATTACTAGCGAAATTCACGAATGAATAATTTTTTGTTGCAAAAGAACTGCAGAGTATTATTAGGAAGGAGCATACTCGACTTCACTACGGATTATGTCGTAAGTGCACAAGTATTATGCACTGGACAGGGACAGGCAGGTGCGAAACAGCTATTATCGATAAGCTTGCAGGTGCGTCTTAATTTGGTAGTGGTGTGCCATCATCTATTCTGTACTACCCCACCTTCTAGCACTTTCCACCTTCTGAACTGTCCACCACTTTGCGCTGTTCAGAACGGAACTTCAAGGAATCCTCACAAGAAACCTCAAATCAATTATTGAAGTCCGCACCCACCAACTTCCACCCTTCGTCAACCCTACAGGAACCCTTCGATCCCTTTGACGAGCGCAACAACCGATTTCATAACCCGTATCCTCACACTTAAGGCCCATCATGCCTGTCGATTATAGCAAATGGGTATGTATTCTACCCAAGACAAGCATTTGGTTGCCAACAAACAGAACAAACAGACCCTCCCTGCATTATACTGAGCTCTTTTCTTCTGCAGGACAACCTCGAGCTCAGCGATGACTCTGACATCGAGGTCCATCCCAACGTCGACAAGAAGTCTTTTATCCGCGCCAAACAGAGCCAGATCCACCAGGAACGCCAGCAACGGCGACACCAGATCGAGACGCTCAAGTACGAACGGCAGGTCAACGACGGCCTCACGAAGCGCATCGGCAGCCTCTTGAAGGCACTCAAGGCGCATGGTGACGAGGCCAAGGCGGCAGGGTCCTCGCCGACCGCAAAGTCGGCGGGCGAGGTTGCGTTCCGTGCCGTCATGTCCGACGCCGCCGCACTCAAGCCCGAAGACGACAAACCGCCACAGCCGCCGGCCGACGTGCACTCCAACGTGGACCAGACCACCACGTACACGCAAATGATGGCGGCGCTGCTGGACCAGGTCAACAAGGCGCTGGAAGAGAAGAAGGTCGAGGGCGCAGCGCGGTACGATGCCATGGTGGCGGAGATTGAGGAGCACCAGAACAAGGTGGCCGACCTGCAGCGCCAGCTGCTTGAAAAGCTCGGCGAGCTGGAGAAGGAGGAGTCGCGCAAGATTACGAGTGATACCTTCCACACGGGCTTTGATAGCTCGCACGTGAACAAGTCGGCTCCGAGCGAAGGCGCCAACACGAGCGGTGGCGGCAGTGGGAAGCCCGAGCTTCTGAATCCTGGCTACAAGAGCGCAGACACTACGGAAGCTTCCTCGTCATCTGCTTCCAAGCCGGGTAATGATGACGGTGATAACGACGACCCGAGCGAGCCGACTGCCCTAGCACGCAAGTTTGCGGGCATTGCGCCCAACAACCACCTCGAGAGCAGGTCCTTTATCGCCGCCAATCCGGAGGTCCTGGCCGAGAAGCACGAGGAGGGTATCCTGATGCTGGCCTTTGATGCAGAGATGGAGGGTAAGCAGGACACAGCACGGCGCTGTGTGCACCAGGCTAAGCTGCTCGAGTACTGCCGCACCCTCGGCCGTGACGGCGTGGTGCTCTTCTTCAAGCGCATCGAGACGCGCGACCACAAGGCGCACGACCTGTTCTATGGCGACGTGCAGGACACGTACGTCAAGATCATGACGCGCGTCAAGGAGATCAAAGCGCAACAGGCCGCCGGCACATCAACCGAGGGTATAGAGCAGATCCAGCTGCACGCGGTGGAGCCGGGCACGGTCATCAACATCCGTGTCCCGCCAGCTGACTCGGACGATCCCGAGGTGGCCAAGGCGCGGCAGATCTTTGACGGCTTTGCACCGGACATGCGCAAGGCCCTCGAGTCGGGTAGCCTCGACAAGGTCAATGAGGTGCTGGGGCGCATGAAGGTGGATGAAGCCGAGGCCCTTGTCGGTGACTTTGGCGAGGTATGACTTGTCCCAACCGCAATCTTTTTTTTTGTCGATTGCTAACACTCGTATAGGCTGGTATTCTAAGTCTTGAGGACGAAATCATCGACGCCACGACCGAAGAGGGGCGAGCACAGCTCAAGGACATGGGCCGAGACGACTTTGTAGATGAAAAGGGCGTTGCAGTGGATGCACCACCGACAGTAGCAGCAGAGAAGGAGGAGTACGGTGACCCAGAATAATTTGGCCAGTGTCATTGGTGTGTTGTTCCGTACGTGACGCTACCTTTTGTTTGATTGTTTTTTTTTGTTTTTTTTTGTTTTTTTGAAGGACGCGGCAATGGAGGGGGTTCATAGCCTTTTAAGAAATTATATCATGTTTTTTCTTGTTACTATTGGGATCCAAAAAGTGATATGTGATGTGTATCATTGGAGTCATTATGTAATCTACACCCTGCTCGCCCAGTCTTCCAATCTGTCGTCTCAAGACACTGGTGCAACACGCTTCTCAAAGCATACCGTGCATACCGTCTGACCCTGCACGCCTCCAAACTGGAAGCTCGGGTACGCCACGCGGCCTGCCTTGACCAGCCATGCGCCGCCGTTCTGTGCGGCCCGCTCGCGCTCTTCCTCGTCCTCCATCCATGCACAGAGCTCCGTTTCGGTCCAGTTGCAGCTCGTAATCAGAAACCGGCCACCCGGCCGCAGGAGGTTCAGTACCTGGGCGCGGTACTGGACCTCAACACTGGGACTCCCGTCGGCGCCGCCGTCGTCATTGTCCCGAGTTGTGTTCCCGAGGCTGATGGCGTCAAAGGTGCCCTTGTCCAAGACCAGGTCCCAACAGGCCGCGGCCTGGCCGTCTTGGACGAGCTCAGAGGCCGATCCCTGCAGCATGTCCCAGACGGCGAACGAGATGGGCAAACCGTCCGCACCCGCACCCGCACCCGCCTCTGCATCGGCTACCTCGCCAACCACAGATCGTGCCAACGACACGCTGGCTTCACTGTAGTCTACACCGAGCAGCTTTACTTCGGTGTCCCCGTCTGGCACTCCATCGGCAAAAATCTCGTCACGGACCGCACGCAACAGAGATCCGTTGCCGCAACCCAGATCCAGAATGGTCCGGGCGTTCAGGTTGCCTTCGTCGTCCAGCTCGGCCAAGAACTGGACCATTTTGGCCTCGGCGTCTGCGTCATCGAACCAAACCGTGCCCGTGTCTTTGGGGTTGCTCTCATGGTTGGCCAGCTCAGTAGCATACAACTTGTCCCAGCTGGTAACAAGGGGGGATGTTGTCAATTGCCTTTTGTTCGTATGCATTTACAGGGCCACTCACGTATATATAAAAGGCGAGTAAGGTGACTGGCATATAGGAAGACTCACTATTCCTTTGTTCCTAGCTCGGAAGGCTCCAAGTGAGCAGGTCTTGGGGCCGGCATAATTGATGGGAGTTATAAGCTTGGATAAAATATATTTCGTATAAAGTCACATTCGACACAAATATTGGTTTTCGTGACTACGAAATTTTGTCACTGGTTGATACGGGCTTATGAGCGCTGTAACAAGCCGCGTAGTTAAAAAAAATCGGCAGAATGGCTCACAACGCCACTAAAGGCGGTGAGCTGACAAGCATCATATACTCATTGTTCCAAGACGCTACCAAAAGCTTGTCTTGCGACTGCTCGTAAACACATTACAGTAGCAAAATGAATTCACAATTTCGCATGGTACAGTCAACCCGCCAAAGCAAACCACCAAAATTTTGTTAAATAGGATGTAAATGCCGAAAGATCGCCGAATACATCGAGAAGTTAAAAGAAGTACATGGTATCATTCAACCCTGTTGGGTTACCGTTCTCCGACCTTTGTTGTAAGTGTTCCTCTACAATGTCCACACAGAGGCCTTTGCTAGCACCTGGCGACCGCGGACTTCGACGGCAACAAAGCCTGCAAAGCGCACCTTTGGCATATCGTTGGAAGGGTGTGCTGTTTCGTGTTAGTACAGGTGGGGTACAATGGGCACTGGTTCTGTTTTATCAGGTCATAAATGCTTACCACTTCGCGATGCCCCAACGTGCTCATCGTCGTTTCCAGCAGCACCGTCGTCTGTTGCTGCATCGTCCTCGTCCTGTTCAGCATCGCCGTCCGCGCCTGTGTTGAGCGGTGGCAGGCCTGCTTTCTCAACATCCATCCACTGTGGCGAAACGTAGTCGAGCGGCATCGGCAACGAGACTACTACATCGCGACTCTCCATAGGCAGGTTGGATGCAATACCCACCGCCAGCTCCACAATCATGCTCGCACTGCCGTCGACGCCAGGGGGAGGGGTTTCCGACATGTACTGGTATAGGTACGAAGTCAGGTCGGCAACTGCTTGTTGAGTAAACTTGACCCGGTTTTCGTTGCTCTCCGGTCTTGACAGTGTGTCCTGTAGACCCTCGAGGGTGGCCATCCGCCAGCTGATAATCTTGTACGTCAGGGCATCGAACTCCTCCTGGCTGCCAAACTTCTTCGAAGAACCACGGATGTTTCGTTCAATTTCCTTCAGCTGGTGGCTCAGTTCAGGGTCGAGACCAGGGTGGAAGCACCGGTTGAAAACGCATTCAACAACCCATCGGCAAATGATAGCACGGCCAACAGCCGTCATTTCCTGCTTCCCCGTCTTCAGCGCGTCAGGGCTGGCATAGGGCTCGATCCATTTCGGCAGTCCCTCCCAGTCCTTGCGGATGTTGAATGACAGGTTGGTGATAGCACCATTGAGGCGGTTGAAGCGTGTAGCATACTCGCTGTCATCCAGAGCAGTACGCGACTGAGACATACGCTGATTGGCAATAGCATTCTGCAGGTGCTCAATCTGTCCCGTGAGCTGGTCAATTTGGCTCTTGCCCTCAAAGTACAGGCGCTTCACATTCTTGTACTTCAACGCTGTACGAGAGAACATATTGTGTTAGGACCGCAGCATACAAAATTGGTCTCGCAACCAGTGTCAATATACCAGTGTAGAGAAACTTACCAAGTTCCTTGAGAGCCTTTTCGGAGTCAGCAACGGGCGCGTCGCGGTCCCCGGTAGAAGGCTGTGGGCTGGTACGGCCATCAGTAGAAGCACCTTCGTACTGCCGTTGATCGCCAGCACCCCGGTAGCCTTGAGTCGGGCCACCAGAAGTACCGCTGGACCCCGCTGGCAAAGGAGGCAGAGGGCTCAGGCTTCCTGGTGGGCCTGAGGTCGACAGTGCACCTTGGTTGTGGCGGTACGGCGGCGGCTGACCGCCTGATGGTTGAGCGGACCGATCATTGGTATCTTGCGACCGACGGTTGGGCGGTGGGCCACCAGGTGGAGGTGGCATGGTGTCCTGTTCCTGAAGCAGTTCCTGGCCGGATGCCGGGTTTTGCAGTGCCTGGCCTTGTTGTTGCGCTGCCTGAGCGGCTTGAAGCTGGGCCGGTGGCTGCTGTTGGTGCTGGGCAGGTGGGGGCGGGGTTGGCGCTAGGTCTTGAAGTGCGGCTGTCTGGCCCAGTGGAATCTGACGGTGCGGATCCTGAGACGAATAGGTGTTACCAGCAGATGACGATGTTTGAGCGGCCAGCTGGTCGGCTTCAGCAACGGGTGATTCGTGTGACACTTGAGAGATTGTCTCTGGGTTGGGTGTGTGCTGTTGCAGAAGAGAGTGCTGCTGCTGCGGAAGACCAGTTGTGCTTAAGTGACCAATGAAACCCTGGTGGGGGGTGTTGGTGGAGATCGCCTGTGGCTGTTGGTACTGAAGGGCGGGGTATGGGTGTTGTTGTTGCTGTGGGTCAAATTGGCCCTGTCCGAAGGCGGTGTTTCCACCCTGTTGTTGCAAAACGACCTGTTCTGACGGCGACACTCCAGGAGCCAGTTGCTGGATATATCTGCCTTGTGCGAGCTGCGCAGCGTGGCTGTTGCTTTGCCGGCCAATATCGTCCGGACCGTAAGGGGACGTTTCCTGCTGGTCAAGGTCGCCAGTATGCACGCGGCGGATCGACGGCGGTGGCGGCTGATCGTTGTCCGAAACTGGATAGCCTCCTCCCTGGTTGTCACCAGCAAATTCTCCGATCCCCTGGAGCGGTGACGGCTGCGTGTTGCCTGGGTTTCCAGCCGGATCCGCCCCGATAAAATGCTGCTGCTGCTGCTGCTGCTGCTGCTGCTGCTGCCCTTGGAGTGGCCAACCCTGCTGAGACGGGTCGAGAGACAGCTGCGAAGGTCCAGTACGCAAAGAAGGCGGCTGCTGGCTCAGTCTCTTGGACGGTCTTCGAGCAAGACCTGCTGAGTTGTTGTGGACGTTTTGTGCAGCAGGCGGCGGTCCAGGCTGAGGCAACGACGGTGGCGGTGGCTGTTGTTGGAGCTGCGAGCGCCCGTTTGAATCCGGGCCTGAACCACGATTGGAGCCTGAGCCACCTCCAAGGAAATTCTTAAATAACTTGCGAGTGGTCCGGCGTGTTTCTTGCGCGGGTGGCGGCGGCTGTGGCGGGCTCTGGACTCGTTGCTGCTGCTGCTGCTGAACCTGCTGCTGGTGCTGGTACTGGTCCTTCAGTGGAAACTGCGGAGGCTGTCCAGCAAGCGGCGAAGAGATGGGAAGCGTTCTGCTCAAGTCATCAACCGACGCAGCGCCGAGAGACGAGGACGAGTAATGTTGATGTGTCTGCAAGGGTCCCACCTGCGTTGGGTAGCGCTGCGACTGTGACCGTGACACCTGCTCGAGGTATTCCAGATTTGTCTGTTTCGTAAGGAGCGGTGTATGCGGTTGTTGTCCGTCAAACCCAGCCGTCGACGTGTTGCCGGCAGGAGAGGCCACGCTGGAAGGAAGCTTGGTGCTACTGGACTTTGTCAATCCAGGAGCCAATGGTGGCGGGTACTGTTGCTGGTTTTGCTGGTGCTGCAGCTGCTGCTGTGCCTGTTGCATGCGTTGCTGTTGCTGCGACGAAAACTGCTGCTGCTGTTGCTCGTCCAAGAGCTGCGACTGGCGTCTCCCGAGCGTTTTTTGCAAAGAGTCAAATGCAGGCAGGTCAGTGTTTGAGAAGGATGCGGCTATACAGTGCGCGTCAGCTTCATGGCCCGAGAGTGTGGCTGGGTGCTAGAGGAGGAGAAAGAGCGTCATCCTGCTCGGAGAAGAGAAGAAAAAAAGACGTAATTACCTGTAGCAGGCCCAGGGTCTTCGCCGGGGCCACGACCGGGTCCAGGTCCAGATCCGGGCGTATCACCAAAAGGATGCTGCTGTTGCTGCTGTTGCTGC